ATTGCTTTTATAAATACGATTGGCAAGCCGAATATGCAGAGAAATACAAAAAAAGTAATCTTTGACTGATAAACTTGCCTCCACTTGTTGAACGTTTCAATCGGCAAATACACAGACAGTGACTCTTCATAGAGACAATAGACTATAAGAAAAAGCTGGTCATAAGACAAAAGACCGACATTATTTACCATTTTTACAACTTCGGCGAGTAAGATGAAATTAGTTTCAACCGCTAAACACAGCGCACGCAACCATACCGTTGTTGTTTCGACAGTGCCTTGTGTATCCCCCGCTTCTGCCATTTGCTCGGCGGCTAACATATCCATCAATTCCTCTTGGTTGAATGCAGCTGCCAAGTCCGCATCAACTACAGGATCATCAAAGGCCTCTTCCTGTGCTACCGATATCATTGCACATGATAACACAACAAGCACGCTCGCAAATCTGACCAAATTGAGTTTACTCAGCAACATCATGAATTCTCAGCACACGTACGTGCGCACGGCCTAGGTATATGTATATAGTATGGAGTTACCTGTGCACCCGTCTAGCTTACACAGAAGCGACTTGAGCAAGCCTCGAGTATCACTCTTGGTATTTACTATTTATTAGATGCATGATTTCAATAATAGTAATATCTATCTCCAGACTCAGTTGGGTCGAGCTTTTGCATTTCACTGTTCCAGCAATTTGCTCTCAAAATACCCTCTTTTTTTTTTAAACAAAATATGTGGATGTACTGTACTGTATTTTTAGTGTAAATAGCGAATAAGTTGACAACAGATTGGGACCTGAGACTTGAGAGTGTTTACTGAGTACTGATGACTATATACTGTCTCAGTCTCAGAGTGCGAGAGAGAGAGAGATAGTCCTTTATTATGGTGTGCGTCTGTACGAGTTAAAATATAACCCTCTGTGAGTCTGTGGACTATGGCCTGGGGTCTAGGGCTGGACTGCTGGAGCCTGGAGGGCTAAATATGTAAATTTATTGTATGACCGTAGGCGTAAGGCGTATTTATAATGTAAATACTAAATATTATGTACTACACATATAATATTTATTTATTTTTTTAAAAACACAGCGACCAGATTTAAAACTATTTACTCCTCGTACTCCCCAAATAGTACGTTTGAACAAGATCGGGGTTTATATACATAAAAATTGAATACAAAATCAGGGTGATACCGTCTAAATCGCTATGCTAAAAATTGATTCAAATACCAGCGTATGATGACTATATTGCTGATATACATTATACCGCTTTCCATAATTGGCTTTTCTATAAAAGCTATGGTATGAATACACGACTGGAAATTCGTATTCGACTCAAATACCTTAATATTTATCAAAGTACTTTTTGTTTTTTTTTGTTTTCTTACAAATTGTATAAAATAACTCAAATGAAAAAATAAACACCCCTCCCCAGGCTCTCCAGAGTCCCACCCTCCAGGCCTCCACCGAGTCCACTCCTCCACTCACTGACCCCCAGCCTCCATTGGCCCCACTGGCCCCATTGACCGCCCCCACCCCAAGGCTCAAACTTACAAAGGCTCAAACAGACAAAGACTCGAAGACTTAAAACTGTGGACCGGCAGTCCGGCCCTCTGCTACAGAGTCATACGGCTATTTATGTAGTCCTACACTGCCTACTCGGCCCTGGGCCGGTGGCCGGTGGGCCATCTACTAGTAATTTTTGCAAAATAATATGTGCATAGCCGGGCATGGCCTTGTGTTGTGTAAATAAATATCTGAAACTTGGGCTAAAATAGTACACGACAAGTCGACAATATTATTGTTTTTTTATATATAAAAATATAATAAAGTGACAGACTCGCTTCGCCGTGTGTGGATATATATATTTTTTGAATATTTAGGATTGTCGGCCTCGGACAGTCGGCTTTTGAAGTTTTGTGAACTTCTCGCGGTCGCAAATAAGTCATAATAACACACAGAGTTTATTTTTTTTCTTTTCTTTTAAATCCTCAACTTGGGTGACTAGACTTTAAACCCCTACCTCACATCGGTTCTAAACAGTAGTATTTAAATAAATGTACTAGACTATTTACATTTTTAAGTCGAGTTTCAGTGACGCCGATATCTCAGTTCTCAAATAAGGATGTCAGGCCCTAAACCCTAAAACCTCTCCCTTTTTCGTGTTCCCGTAAAATGTCTACTCCAAAACACGCGCCAAAACAGCAAACGGCAGAATAAAAACTGCGTTGTCTATCCTTTGATTCAAACTTTGAGTACCGTCTGCCGTGTGCTATCTCGGTAATAATTGCAGAACCTGTTGATATATGCACCTCATATTCTATGCCACCACACACACACCTTTTTTAAAGAGGGTTAGATACATTCATTATTCACTATGGACGCAAACATGCAGGACCAGGTTCAAGCACACGCCGAGAACATTGAGGAAGCCATCACACAGGCAGCGAAGGTTGTCTCGGCAACGGTAGCACCTGTTGCTGAGAAGATCGTGGAAGCCACTACCGCGCCGGTACTGGAGAAGGTACAGGCGACATCAGATGCTTTCACAGACCAGGTCAAAGGCTTTGACTACCAACCGTACCTAGATCATGCGTACGATGCATATGAGCAGTTTGTGCCGTACGTAGAGAGTGTGTCCGGCCAGGTATACAATGGCTATGTGAGCGCAGCTGGGGAGATGCACAAGTTTGTGGAAACCAGCACGGAACAGGCGAGACTTTTTGCTGACCACATCGAACTGGAGGACAATCTGCACTTAGCTCGACAAAATGCGTACAAGGCATACGAACGCTCATACGAAGCTGCGATAAAATCCAGTGAGGTTTTGGATGAGTACCTTGTTTCATCCCGTGCGCAACTACAAGACTACGATCACGTGATTCCTCTAGGGTTCCTTCCGGCGGAGCACGAACGATACGAGCCATTGGTACTGCTGGGAAGTGTGATGATGGCTTTGACGATCATCACATGGGCTGTTGCTGGCACCGCTACCCGTATGTCTTTTTGATATATACTATTGAGTCGTTGTTGTTTTGTAGTTTGTACGATTTGCTTGGAATTTGTATAGCGTATGCTCGTTGTTGATCGGTGTATGGACATTTCAATGAGAATGTGCGCTTGTACTAACAATCGACCGCTTGCTGATATATTCAGTAAGGTCTTGTACGCTTCCCTTGGATATAATCCTGGTGTGTGCTCGTTGTGTTGTTGATATATATGGAGACAGCTCATAGCGAATGTTTATTTTATAGTTTGTTTTGATCGTCGAGTTTGCTGTGTTGATCGTAACTTGTGCACGATAACTTTTATGGTGTATGATATGGTGGCCATTGCGCATATTTGGAGCTTGTACTACGGGAACTTATCGGCTGAAGCACTGCGGCCTTATATGTGAAGGACCGGTATATGTGTGCAATTTGCAGTAAGGCTGAGTATGAGGAGTACTTAAGCTCTGTTTTGTATGTGTAACTTGTTAATTCGACGCATATACATTGGTGTGCGTTGACGCGACCAATTAGCGCCGGCAGCTTAAACGTTGTCTTTTTCAGATTCGTTCTAAAAGCCGAATATTGAGCGTTACAGGTTGAATTGGCGCACTCCTGGTGGTAGTGCAATTTCGTATATATATTCTAACCCCACCAGAATACATATGCCCATCTCGCATATATAACCAGATAGTCAGTATTTTATTTGGGTTCCCATTAAATATACTTACATGCAAGCAAGTATGCGTAATACCTAAAAAGATGTACAGTACCATGCCAAATTGCTGCGGCTGTTCGGTGTATCATGGTCACAATTATGCTGTGGTATATTCTGTGGATGTGCAGTGTAAACATATTGTATCAGACTGCTGAAGCGAACCGAGCTTCTACTGCTGTGTTTGTATGTGCAGAGGACTCGCTCTATACCACCTTTTAAATCTCTAAATACAAAATGAATTATTCGTAGTCATTGCTACGGTAGTGAACTGCTTAACTTGTGCTCAGAAGACTTGTGTATACCCTGTCAGAGACTGTATATCACAACCCAATGATTTTACTGCTCCTTATGAGTTATTCAAGTGTAATTTTTCAATTACTCGTAATTTGAAACAATGTGCAGCCGAGACATTTCAACATACCTTCGGACCTACCAATAGAATATCTAGAATCACAGCAAACACTAACTTTTATATATTGCTATATTACGAACATTCGGTAGGATAGGGCATATTATGATTGCAGTATGTTTTTGGGAAGTACTAGAAGAACCGATTTCGATATTAGCATGTACGTGAGATATAACAACATCATCACTGTGAGGGCTATCGGATCAGTTGCCAATGCGAAATTCGTTCAATGGTGCCACAGTGCATATTATTTCCACGTTAAATACTCCAGAAACCCTTACATGATCGTGAATAATATCATACTAGTACAATTCGACTGCCTGCTGAACCATATTCTCTCACTCAAAAGTGCCCGAGGTTCTTGTACCACATTCGTGAATTAATATGCATTACAATGTCGTATTTTCCCCCATACCGTTATTCATAAGCGTTTCCGATTTTTGTCTTCCTCAGCGATTCAAAATACAGGAGCTGTAGATAACACAGAAGATATCACCACAGATGCAAATGACGATGCGATGCCCACACCCATGAGCACGGAGGAGGCCGCCGAAAGGTACTTGATGGTTATAGAGTGCGCTCGCATATTGTCATTAGCCCTTTGTTTAATATTGTGGCTGCTATATTCATTTTCATTTATACAACATACGTATACGTGACTCGACATAATACATGTATGTATTTATATAAATATATATATATATACGTGTGCCTCCGTATATTCAATAGACATGTATGCCTTTATATATATATATATAGATATATAGATATGTGTGTCTATATAAATTTATACATGATACGTATATACATATCTGTTCATATATTAATATACACTCCTACTTCAATTTTATAGATGTGTTCCTTTTACCCGTATACATGTGTATATATATATTCATCTATATTTGCACGTTTACAGATATAGATATAGACATATTGTTATATATGGATTCATCTGTAATATTACTATACGGTCTGCCCCAGTGATTAACTATCATTTTGTTGATTATTGATATATGTGTTGATCCGTCGGTCAGTTTTTTTTGTTGTTTTTTGCTGTCTGCATTAATGCTTCACATTGATTTGTAAATTTCTTAAATTGTGATTTATTCCAAGGTTCTATATTGGAGGCTCAGGTCCTGTGCTAGTATGTGCATAAGTGTTCTCGGTACAATTCAGTCATGTGCTGAAGTTATCTCATATAATTGTACAGTCCGCTGCGATATATCTAAGCAATCGGCAAAATATATCTTCTCTTTCACACCATAGGCTCGCCGCTGATAGGTCAGTACTCAATATGAGTTTGAATCGATCCTCAATGAACGACTCTTTCAATGCGAGTGGCATGATGGACATTCCCATTCACGAAAACAAGGAGAACTCGTTTATTAAACGTAAGTTGCCGTTTAGTACGTGTGTCTGGGAATTGTCTCTTTACTTGCGTCTTGTAAATATAATACGGAAAGTGGCAGTTGGTGAGTTCATTCGAGAGAAAAATCTGTTTTCGCATATGCGCATGACTTGTTATACTATCGCTGGTCACATTCACTACTCGATGCACCCGGCTAGTTGGTTAACTCTTCACAACCACCTATGCTGCTCCTAACACTATAGCACCGAATACTCCCCTACGTTTCACGGGGGTCAAGTCTATATCTAGTTTGCCTTACGATCTTTAATTGATACAATTGTGTACCTAATCCTGATTACCACCTCATCCGGCATACAGCTGCCAATGTGTCAGTCATGGGTCAGTCAAACAACACCAGCCTACTTTCCAAGAGTAACAACAACTCCATGATGGAGAAGTCCCTCCCTCTGGGGGTTAAGAGTGTGGATTCATCCTTCCACAACAATAACAACAGATCTCAATTGAACGAGTCATTTGCGGCCAAGTCCAACAATACATCATTTGCACTTGGACCCCAGTCCACGAACGCATCTATGATAGAGAAGGATCTTGATACTAGCAAAACGCTCGATGCGAGCTCGGGGAACATCGGCCAAACAGTCAGTTGCTATGTTGTAATGTTCGTCTTTATACTTGCGTAGCTATGTGGCTTATTGTCTACTGCGATACCGTCGTGCAGCGTTCCGTATGCATTTATGTGTACTCCTTTGTTGACGAACCAAATTACCTCTTTGTAAACATATGGTCCAAATCAGAAGGTCAATATGTATAATTGTTATGATATTGGCCATAAAATATTCAGTAGGCTTACCTGTGCGGAGTGATGTATTCTATAATCTAATCCGCGTCTGAGAAAGACATGTGTTTGAGAAGTATGTATAAGCGGTCGTAAATGATCTACCATGGACTGATTTCGCTATATCGTTTTCATCTCTACAGGCTTAATGTCAGACTTCAAGATGGCTACTACTACCTGAATCGGAATTGAAAACCCCTAATCCGGTCTGAGTGCGAAGATTTGCAAATGACCCCAGAATTTAAAGACAGCCGCGTCTATGTGGCGTATGCACGGCAATATTTTAAAAACGATTATGAAAATAAACCGAAGTAAGTGTATGCATCCAGTTTTGAATATGAAGACGACACAGCGCAGCTCACGATCAATCGAATATCTATCGACCCACCCTTTATCCTAATCCTGAGCATGAGAGCGTGAACATGAAGTCATTGTGCAGTTCGCGCCAGTGATATAAATTCACATCAAAGTGAGAGAAATACTGCTGCTGGCGATCACATCAGCGATTCAAATCAGATACACCTTCAGTTGACTAGTGTTACATCCTGATCCTGGTTGTTGGTACCTATTTTGGAAAAGAACCGCAGTAAAGCACGATACAGATTGTATTTTATTGTTATAAGTTGCACTGCCTAACTTTTTCAAAACAAAGACAAAAAAGACAATGTATGTGATGTTTGTTAAAATGAGCACAATCTTTTAGTTGTAAGTTAAGTAATGTTTACTCAGGAAGGTTGTGAGTAATCATTGTTAGGAAGGTAATATGTGTGCACAAGGACTAATAGCAGCAAAAAATAAATTGTCGGACTGAAATTTTGACAAGATTATTGTATAGATAATAAAGGGAGCCCTTCTATGGAATGACAATACCAATAACAAGGGCCAATGGTAGTATGTGTTGAGACATAGGAATGAGTAGAATTTTGAGACATACCCTTACTTAATATACATTACTCAAATACAGAATGTCACATTGTTTTACGGATGTGTTTAGAACATTGGCTTAGATAGTACAAAGAGATGTATATATCGAGATGATGGAATCAGGGAAACAACTTGAAATACTTGTTCTCGATGAATATATACATATATATATAGATACTATATATATATATACAATATATTATATATAC